CACACACACACACACACACACACACACACACACACACACACACACACACACACACACACACACACAAAATATGTGTATTTTTCTCTGTCTCTCTTTTCCTATTTCTCTCTCTGCTTCATCAAATTATCTAATTTTCTCTACTGCAATACAGTGGTTGACAGATATGTAAACTTATCATATACAAATACATATATATTTATTTAGATACCCTACAATCCGAAAATTTGTATTGTATTTTACTATGCAATTTGGAAAGTTACACAATTTACTAACATCTATTGCGATAGAAATAGCTGTGTTTTTTTATCAATGAACATTTAAATAAATACACAGAATTGAAATAGATTAGCGTGAAATAATATTAATTTATAGCAGACGATTCTTCAAACGTGATCCTATTCAAAAACCGTGGACGATAAAGATGGGAGGATTGAATGCAATTTTTGTCTCTTGACTATCTTTTTTTTTCTCTCTCTCTCTTATTCTTTTTTCTTTCTCTCTCTTTGGTATACGTTCGAGCAATCGATTTTGATTCCACAAATCAGTTTTTTTTCTTTTTTCTTTTTTTGTGAACCTTTCCAAGCAATCTCGATACATATTATCTAGAATTTATTTATCATATGATACGATGTAACTCATCGATCGTATTTTACGAGTATTCAGAGTTCTTACATGTTCATTTTGACCTTAATAATTTAACTTTTAAAAGAGTAAGTTTTAATCGTAAATCTATTACATCAAATATAAATCGAATTCTACGTCTTCTTATTTTTCTTCATCATTTTCTTGTTTTATTTTCTTTTTTATGTTTTACTTTTTCCTTTTGTGTTGAAAGTTCGTTGATGTTAGCTGACGTAAATCGAAATGTACGATAATATTGAAAAATCTCACTTGCGTTGCCGCATACATTATTACTATTATTATTATTTTACGTTATTAGATATTATTAATAAATTATCGTAAGTCAATATTAATTCTCTTTCATAACAGTAATTTTCTTAGTTCTACGAAGATCGCAAGGTTCGCGATATTTTTATTTAACGAACGCCATTAAACATATGCTTTAAGTCTATTTATATTTATATTTATATTTATATTTATATTTATATTTATATTTATATTTATATTTATATTTATATTTATATTTATATTTATATTTATATATTTATTTACATATGCAAATATTTTCACTTTACTAATAAAAATATTTGGTACCTCGTTTGCAAGGACGTTAATAAGATCAATCGATTTTTTTTTCAAGTCTTATCGTAAAACTTCTGGTCATCTTCGAAATCTAATAATCGGAATATTATTTTATACAGCCCCCAAAAATACGTCAGATTGTTCGCGCTTTATTCCATATTTGTGTCGATAATTATGAGAGTACTATAATACAAAACAGATTTTTTTAAATTGATTTTAGTATTTATTTTATATTTCAATTTATTTTTATTATAAATTGAATAGTAACATCAATTTTTTTTATTTTTAACTATCAACAGGCATAATTACCGACGCATGTATGCATGCATAAATATTTCTTAATCGAATTACGTTTAGTGTATTATTGAGCAGTAAAAAATTTATCGAAAGCAATATAATTTCTAGTTAAAAAGAAAATTTTAAATAATAAAATGTTACGATACGTCTCCAAGTAAAACTTGTTTCTTTTAGCAAGTAAACATATTCGAAATTTTTTGCTAGTATTAAAAATTATCCGAAGCTTTCTCAGCATTGTTTTCGAAAACACATGTTTGCATACTTTAGAGTTTGATCGCAATATGCGTAAATGTTTGACTTATTCTTTCAGTGGATTTCCCAATTTTCACATACCTGGGATTTAAGTATTTTGATCAAGAAAAAAGTCATCTAGGAAAATACAAGATTTCCCACCAGAGAGTCTAAGAAAATTGCTTTTCTCTTCTTTTACTTGAAATCTTTTGACAACCAACCTTGATTTTCTATTGCCAATATTCGTTCAAAATGTAAATATATACTTCGGTAAGGAAATAGGAATGAGAAAAATAACATCTTCGTATCTTCGTTTATCATAGCGTTCTATAAACAAACTGCTTCAGAATAACTGCTTATAATTTTGTATTAATACTTAAAGACATGTAATTAAAACGATATCTGAAATTTTTTAAATATATTCTACGTGTGTTCATGTTACAATATGACTTAAATTGATGATTTTTTATTTTATTGTTGAGGTATTATTAAACCGACTTTTTTAATATGAAAGAAGAATTAATTGTTAGAGTTATTTTCTTTGCTCATTTATCCACGTAATTGTTCGCAGATATTGTAACAAATTTTGTCGTAATAGCAGCTATAATCTTTTATAATATTTAAAATTAATTGTTTCAAGTGTTTTTTGTTCGGGCACAATTTGATTACGAAAATGTATTTAATTAATGTTCCTAGTAAAATTTGTAAATAAGGGATAGTAATTATGAAACATTATAAACAAGGTATAAGAGACAAGAACTCGCGGTGCATATTCAAAAGACGGAAACGATTAACGAACTATCAACAATTAGGTCTCCACTTTTGTTTACGAGCCATCATCAAAATTTATTTACTCGAGGATTAAGGATCCTTTTAACGATCTATTCAAATTGATTTAGTACGCCTTCCGGCATATCACTCAACGATTTTGCGTAAAAGAATTACTGTAACGTAAAACGTAATGTATTAAAATATTATCAAAAAAGAACATGACAAACCGTTTTAACAATCTTTTATTCATATCAACTGTTTTCTAATGTAATATTTTATAATATCAAAAAAAAAGAAAAATTAATTAAATTCGAATTATTGCTCAAAAGACACATTTTTGTTTTTTATTGCACAAAAGACACTCATAAACACTTATTTTCATATTTAAATTCTATGAAGTATCGATCCTTAATTATGGAAGAAACAACGCTTACATGTTACATAGAAATAATCATGATTCTTTCCAAGAGAAATAGAAAGAACTAAAAAATGTCTTTATTTTTGATTCTCGATTAAAGGTTTCTCGATTAATTTCCGACATGTCTGGATATTGTCGAAAGACATGATAAGATATTTGTGTGATAAAAAGAGATGTATATATATATATATATATATATATATAGAGAGAGAGAAAGAGAGAGAGAGAAAGAAATATAGAAAGAAAGAATAAGAGTTTCATCGACTTCTTTGGGTTCAACCTCAGAGAATACTCTTCCTATTATCAAGCCTAATCTCTTGGAAAGTAAGTAAATGGACGTTAAAGCCTGGTAACGGCAGACCCCGGTCTCCCGGGGCCGAGTGCCTACCTAGATGGTCTCCAAGGTTGATTCCTGTATCTGCAGAGTAGTACCTTTTTAAATGTCTGCCTAAATACCTTATTAAAAATAGTATAAAATATAGGATTAACCATGGAACTGGCATAACCGAGCCACGTAGCAAAATCAAATAAATTATGGCCGATTTGTCTCTCGCAATCTGGACAAACGGCTGGTACTAAATTCAAGATAAAAAATGGCGCCCATAATATAACGAACGTGAAGAATACTATTCCGAGTACTTTAGTAGCTTTTTGTTCGAGTTTTATTATCCTACCATGTCTCGAACTATTCCTCGATACGACGCTACTCGTTCTCGAATGATGACTACGAACACCACCGGGATATCTCAAAAGACATGGGGATGATACATTTCCAGTTTGTTTCGATGACATGCTGCTACTTGCTGTGCCTATAGTAATTGTTGATGTTGTTGTTGTTGTTATTATTGTTGTTGTTGTTGTTGTTGTTGTTGTTGTTGTTGTTGTTGTTGTTGTTGTTGTTGTTGTTGTTGTTGTTGTTGTNTTGTTGTTGTTGTTGTTGTTGTTGTTGTTGTTGTTGTTGTTGTTGTTGTTGTTGTTGTTGTTGTTGTTGTTGTTGTGCCGTTGCGCGCGCGCATTGTTGCAGCTCGTTTTAATGGAGTTGATCTGGAACACGCCAATTGAGTCCTTGTGCTACCTGTCGATAAAGAAATATCTAATATAGTTTATAATTAGAAAGTTATGATCGTAGAATTAAATAGTTACAATGAAAATTGTTACTTTAAGATATTTATTTTATTATAAATATACTTATTGTCTATTTCAAATATTAACCTTTGTTATGAATTTGAAATTTACCTAAACTAGAACCACGTCTTCCACCCCTCCAAGTAACAACCGAATTAATTGGTATTATTTCGTTGATTCTCGCACTATTCTTTCTACCAAGAAGATTCACCTCGAGTGTTCTTTCAGAAATAGGTTTCATGGTGTCGTTCGATACGATTACAACTTCGGTAGGTTGTGGGGTTTGTTTTTTAGAAGATTCACCGAAATATGGACAAGTGCAAAGTGGTGGCAAAAGTATTGTCGTTATTTCATTATCCGATTTGTCTGAAGATTTCCTCGATTTGGGGTTATCGTCGTTCGCCGAGCTTTTCCTTGACGAGGAGGATCGTCTAAACGTCGTTTGCTCGTTAAAACTGAATGATCTTTTCCGAGGCATCTTAGGTGAGATCGAATCAGCTCGTTGAAGGTGTGCCTCATTATAAGTTGATGCTCTACGCCTATGTTTCCAAGGAATCGGTGAACTTAAATCATCCTGACCCATTGATAAACTCGTCCTTGAACCCGATCCACTACTTCCTCCGCTATCCCCACTGCTGTTATAATAAAAGAAATTATATATTCTGTTCGTTAATTCGAACAAATAGTCAGATATAAAAATTGTTTCAAAGAAAAAAATTGGTAAGATATTTTATGGACTTCGATATTTCTTTTCTATTTTTTCTTTCATTTTTTCTCTTTTTTTATCTTGTACAATTCAATTTTTTTGATTTCGGAAGATAAAAGTTATGCATTGGAAAGTTCCTTATATATATGTATAATATATTCACGTTAAAATCTAATGACTCTATGCTAACTTCAAAGTTTACAAAAGAAAAGAAACAAATAGGATATTTTTACTTCACTTTCAAAATAAAATCCACTTAGCTAGGTATTTTTTGTTTCACTTTAGCATCGGAATCACCGTCGGGGCTATCAAAATGAAATGACAAAAAAATATTCCTATCCTTTTCTTTTTTTTTTATTTCAAATGTGTGAATCTTTGCTAAAAAATACGAACTAGGGAAGATATTTGAAAAATTATTTGTTTTTACATAGGAAACTCTTTAGAAAAAGAAGAGAATAAGGAAAGAGTGAGAAAGGGAGAGAGAAGTGCGTTAAAAAGCCAGCTGCATCGGGCGTTCTTGACATATATCCATCGGTGTGGACATTCCCTATCGATTTCTCGATGCGACACGTCTATGATGCATTTTTACGTTAAGCGAAAGCATCAATAGTGAACCATTATAAAATTCCATTTTAATACCGTATTTAGAAAAAAGCAAGCAAGCAAGTACTGAAGCGAGAGAACGTGGAATTGATCTATAGATCTTTCCATCGTTCGATAGATCGATCATATCGATCAATCTATAGCTTTGTCATTGACAATTTCTATTTTCTTGTAGTCTCTTCAATCCGACCTTTATATTACGAGTGAATATTACTCGACGAGCACTCTGTTGTAACTTTCGCAAATCCTGCAAGCGACACGACATGTTAGAAAAATTCCGGAATTTTTCTAAACAATAATCGAATACTTCACACCTTATAACTCAATCTTTACTGTATCATCCCATACCAATACAACATTTTACAAATTATGAAATAGCTTGTGTGTGCAATTTTTTTGATTATTTTTTTAATTTATTTTCTTTTTTTAGTTTTTCTTTCTTGCTACAATTATCCAATCTCATTAAATTATTTCTTTCAAGCATAAAATTTTATATCCATTAAAAAAAAAATAGTATACGTGTAGTTTGTAATTATTTTTTTTTTTCTACATTATTTATATTTGCATTTTTACTTATTTTGCAAGTTTAAAATTCCTTTTATGTTTTTATAAAGTTAACTCGAAATTTTAAGTAGCATTATAAAAAAAGAAATATAATATTAAATTGAATTTAATGCAGTTTTATTGTTTTCAAAGGAAATTAGAAAAAAAATAACATGCAGAGAAAATATTTTCACGATCCTATCGTAAAAAGTGAAACTAGCAAGAATAGTTAAGTAGGTGGAATAAGAAACATTTAAAAAAACGAGAACTCTATTCCTACTCGATTGTTTTTTTTCTTCAACAATTACCATGAGACAATCGGTTAGATCTGTCTCAAAGTTTTATAAGCTATACGTTTCGTAATATTTTCTAAATCTAATATCGGTTCGAGTAGGTGTTTGTATCTAATAGTGAATTAACTAATAATTAATAAATAAATTTTTAATAGAAAAAACAACTATCATTATTTATTAAAATATTTAATACTGAAAACTTTCAATTAAACAAAATAATTCATTACTTTTCAATAAAACAATATAAGAAATAAAATAAAAACTATTAAAAATGTTCAATATATAAAACTATAATTTGTCCCTGTTATTTATTCAAGTATAAAATATTAGTGTTATTTATTTAAATAATATCAATTATAAAATAAAATTTCAGTTATTTATTGGCCACCGATAAATTCGTGAAATCTTGATAGTTGAATTTTACTAACACTAGTCGTTTTTCTTATCCATTGTAATTAAATTTCTTAAGAAAACATTTAAAACTCGAGTATTTACGTACATAGAAAGCAAATGACATAGCATCTGCTTAAATACAACCCCAATGCATTTCTGTTTTCTTTCTCAAAGGCGAAGTAATAGGCAGATATTCGTGATGTTAACGAAAGAATCTGGTTGCAAAGAATACCAAGAATCGATTCTGAAGTTTCTGTTTTCTTAAAGAATTATAAATGAAAATAATCCGTTGTGAAAAAAATAAAGTCAGGTAAAATAACAATGATAATAGTTATCATATTTGTATCTTTTTCATTTAACTTTCGCGATATTTTTTCATTGAAATATTCAAACAAACTTTTAATTGCTATTTATTTAGACAATATTATTTCAAACGTTTCTAATATTTGTATTGAATAAAATAATCACATCATATACTACATAATTATTTTACAAAATATTTATCATAGCAACACTAATTCTGTTATAGTAATATGTATGAATAATGATCATAATTTAATTTGGACAAAATAAATAATAATAGATATTTTTTTATTTTCAATTTATAAAATACTATTTTATTAAACGTAGAAAAGAAAGTTATTTTTCGTGTATCCTGTTAAAAACGTCTTTTACACTTACATACGTACAAATATAGATAGACATTATGTACATATAAATAAATATATATTTTTACCTCTCTCTCTCTCTCTCTCTTTGTGTGTGTGTGTGTGTGTGTGATCATCTTCGGGCTTTTCGGTATAATTCTCGCGGAAAGTGTGAAAATATCGGATGATAGTGGGAAACCAGGATACCATTATAAGTTGCGGTGACGCGGTCTCAAAGTGGATTGCACTTAGCTACTGGCATTCAAAGTGCAAAACGGACTCCAGGGAAGAGAGGAGTCTCGTTCACTTCGTGGTTGCACTTAAGTAAACTTCTCTTCCTCTTTCTCCCCATACAAGTATATATGAAACTGTTTAATAAAGGAATGTGCACTTAGTTCGTGTCTCTAAACGCGTTTCTATGTCAATCGAGTCTCACCCTTGTTAATGATTTAATACATTTTCATCAATATCTTACTTTTATTCTTTATTTTATCTTTCCTAACAAAATTTCAATCATTCCGATCACAAGAATCAAGCACTTAGGCGAGTTTGCAATGAAGAGTTAAAAGGTGAAGTTGAAACTAAGTTTCACTAACGTATTGTTTTCGTGTTCGAAGGTCGTTAAAGGATAAGAAGGTGTCTTTTCATGATTAACTACGTGTACTGTTTCTCTTTCTCTCTCTTTTCCTCTCTCACTCTCTCTCTCTCTCTCGCTCTCTCTTTCTAACTATATTTTATATTTAAATTGTTATAAAAACAAGAGAATGAAGAAATAAAATATAAAAGTAAGATAGAAAAAGGTGAATTTGAAGAAAGTTCGTGTCGTGATAGATAGAGATGGGAAGTGCTCGGCAATTTTTCCTTTCAAAACGAAACCGAGAACACGTCCAGTTCGATAAATCGTTCCTTGCTCTCGTTTAAATGGATATCACCTCTCTGATGGGTTCGTTATGAAAAAGAGAAAGTACTATACTTCTACCATAGTATAAGTTCTACGATTTCTCTCTTTCTCATCTATTAAATTCTTTCTCTCTTTCTCTTTTACTCGGTTGAATTATCGTAGCCAGTAACTCATACGAATCTACCACACTCGATAATACTAACCCAGAGCTCTTGCTCGAGAGAACCTACTCGCTAGTTTCAGCTAATTGCAACTTTAAGCTGCGAACGCTTACCCGGAATTACGTGGCACACGAAATTAGGTGCTCCAGTAACTCTCTCTTCTTTTCTTTCTCTTTCTAATGCATTAACTTACACACCAGATGTTCGAAATTTAACTTTATACGGATAGGAAGTAACACTCGAAGATTATCGAATCATTTCGAATAACGAATCTATATTAAATCTACTATTTTAAATTAAATGATACAATGATTTTTCTTGTTATCATGATATTATTTATTTTATTTGAAAATATTTATTTGAATTTTCCAATATTTTTATTGGATTATGAAAAAAAAGAAAAAAGAACAAAATAATAAATCGTAAAACATTCCAATAATACATTTTCTATTCTGTATTTTACCGATTACTTTTCCAACATTGAAATATAAAAGAAAAAGGGAAAATAAAAAAAAAAATGAGCTATTCGAAATGTATTGAAAATTGCAAATCTCGGCTTTGCACTCGCACCAAGTTTGAAGGATTTAATACAACAGATGTATGCAATGGTACTTACTTCAACAATGGGAACTTGTCTCCTTTCATTGGGATCGATACGAAATTCTCTTCTCAGAAAAACGTCCCCCCCCCCCTCTCTCTCTCTACCGAAAACGAATATATATATATAGTGTTTTTTCTAGTATTATTATTCCTTTCTTTTGGTTTCCTGACCTCTAATTAGATTTATTCGATTTCACAACTTATTACTTCTACTATAATTTATAATTTAAAACATTTTTTGACTTTATAACTAATACAAAAAGATGATAAATAAAAGCATTTAAATTTTGCCAGTAGATATTTTTAGCGAAACAAGAAAATGATAAATAGATGAGTTTTTTATTTGGATAGTGTTGGTATATATACATATACTATAACTTGATTTTGTATATTCTCAAAAAAGGTTTCCTTCCTCGCTATCTTATCTCGAAATACTTTGCGAAATGAATGCGAGATGAAAGAAAATATTTAGTGGAAAGTTTTTCCCCCAAGAACGGGGGCTGATAAAAAGAAAAACAACATTCTTTCTGAAAAGTGGTGGTTAAGGCGTGTTACGTTACGATTTTCCTTGTAGAAGTCCATCAACCTTTTCAAATTTAACGAGCGAACCACTATTATCCTCATCTCTACTTAAAATCTTTTTTCAATCGATAACCCTTTCATCGAGAAAAGGGATGATCTTTTATTCTTTGATCAAAGAAATTTGACGAATAGGATTTTTCGATTTTCTTTGCTTAATCCCAATCAAATCTTTTTCTTTTATTTTTATTTTTTTATCCGACAGAGAAAAATCTTTTCTCGTCTCCATTTTTATCCATGAAATATATTATTATAGATTAGGATCAACTTTCACGAATTAAGTCGTCGTAACTTGGATCGAAAGAAAATTGCCGAATCAATCGAAAATGGAATTGATTCGTTCAAAACGTTTTGATCATACTTCTTTGACGTCGTTTTATCGTTCCGTGTAAAAAGAAAAATAGAAAGAGAGAGAGAAATAAACAGACAGATAGAGAAATAATATTCGAGTAACCATTCTCTTGAAACAGAGTGTCCATTCTCTTGAAACAGAGTGTGTAAATTGTTTTTTGAAAAATTGAGGAATTTCTTGAAACCGCTTTTCTACGTTCATGAAAAGATGATATTTATATACAGGGTAAGTTATTTCAATTGGAACACTTTCTTATTTCCGTTATTTATGGCTTTAATATTTAAAACAAGGAACATTCTGAAAAGCTAAGATAAATATCTATTTTTTTTCTTTTTGTAAAGCAATATTTTGCGTACTATTTCAAGATGATCACTGATTTTTAAATTTAATATATTCTTTATTAAATTAATCGATCCAGTTTATATAGTTCTGTATAAATAAAAAAAAAGTTACTCTGTTTATATCTTAAGAGTAGAGAAAAAAAGCTGTTAAATTATTTTATAAAACTATGAATAAAGGAAAATATTGAACTTCACCGATTAAAATAGGTCACCCTGTACACATATATAGATAGAAAATAAAGAGATAGATAAGTAGGCGACTAAGTTGATGAATTCAATGAAATCTTAATCGTCGAGAAGGTTGAAACAATCCGTGCTAATGAAGTATTCGCACTTTACCGAGGTGAGGGGATACAGAAAGAGAGAGAGAGAGAGAGAGAGAGAGAGAGAGAGAGAGAGAGAAAGAAAGATAGATAGAATTCTCGAGGTGACTTTACGTTTAGAAACTGAAGTTTCATTTGAAGACGACAACGACGACGACGAAAACAACGAATGTATCGTTCCAAATTTACGGGCTCCATCGACGACGATTTAATCTACGCGAGTTTCTGCGTAAAAGAGTAATTTTTATTTTTAACCTAATGACTTCGATTACGTTTAACGATCCCAACATTGCTTTCCTTAACAAAAACTTTTAACCTTTTCCGCGATAGTTTGCAAGAATAATTTATACTCTTTCGTAAAGTACAATTACGTATATTTAGACAATAAAATAAAAAAAAAGGAAAAGTATTAACTCTAAAGTAGATTGAACGGTATTATTTTGATTTCCATTTTTTCTTTTGTTTAAGATAATGATTATTTTATAAAATGATTCACCTAACTTGCACACCTTAAATAATTTTTAAATCATGTCTGTAAAATATTATTTAAATATAAAAGTTACATGATGTCATGAGAAAGATATGATGGTATGTTGGTTTTTCTTGTGCATTAAAGGTTGTCGATATATTCGTGGTTAACTTTATTTCTTTTTTTTTTTTTTTGTACCGTAAACTATCTAATTATTTTTTTTTTTGCTTTTTTTTTTTAATTTAATATTATATTGATCTATGAAAAAGTAATCTAATCTATTAAAAGAAATAAAATTAATCAAAGTTCTGAAACTTGTCCACATATGAGAAAAATTGATGCATCATCATTTGCCCTTCGCAATGCAACTATTGTAATTAGCAAATTTTCATTAAACGCGTATTTACAAAGTTATTTAAGATATAAAAGTTACACAAATCATACTGCATACTATAAAAGTACTCGAAGTTCTATTTGTAAAAAAAAAAAAGAAGCAAAAACATATTTACTGGAATTTGTAATTTTGTCATTTTTTGTAATCACCTATACAAAATCTTTTTAACTTCGATGAGTTTATTAGAAAAAAAAGTAAAAGAGAGGAGGAAAGAGAAATTTAATTACTTTTTTCTTATCGTTTTACATCATATATTACTCTTCCTATCGAGCTAGATGAATCTATGAACGATAACGAATAGCCAATCTCGAATATCTTTCGATCTTTCTATCTTTTTCACTCCTTTTTCTTTCTTTCTTGCCCCTCCTCATTCTCTTTCCTTCGTAGGAAACAAGCCACCTCAGTGGATCATAAAGAGAAGGCTTGGACTAGAATATCAAGCTGATGCTTCGCTTCTTTCCTGCACGCTAGTTTCGACCAAAATCGCATAAATCAGTCAATATATATTGAACTGAAAAAATACTTTAACGTTGAAAAATGTTCTAGTTATTTTCTATAATACGTATCTATAACAATCACTTAAATATTTTTCTAATATATTTTTTTAAATGTTCAAAAATAAAAATTGATTGACAAATTAACGAGATTGAAAAATCTTCAGGTTTCGGCTCGTTTTCATGATGATGTAAAATTTACATTTGCGTTTTTCTCTCTATAAAATTTATTTAATGATCGTTTATACATATATTGACTTAACACGTTGAGCGCCACGCTCATTTTTCAAGGAATTTCCCGTCAGGCCACGCTCATTTTCAAGGAAGTCCCCATAAGGCCACGCGCGCCGTTTAGAAATATCATGTTATTTATACGCTGTCAGCCAGCGGTGGCTGACGCGACCTAAACGAAAAGTCTAGTGTTCGTCACTAATGGCGGACGCGGCCTAAACGAAAAATCTAGTGTCCGCCACCGATGGCGGACGTGGCGCTCAACGTGTTAAAAAATAAATTGAAAAAAAAAAATAATTTAGGCATGAGTTAACGAGATTCAAAATCTTCTTATTTCGGCACATTTTTATCCAAAGTGGAAGTGGTTTTAAAGGGTAGACACGGACGAGTTTAAATTCGTTTGTAACAAAAGCAAATAATAACTAAAACTGACGTATTCTGACCACACAGGAGCAGTTGACGGTTCTTGCATTTACGAAATGACACAAATTCAACATATACGCACCTACATAAATTGTAACTCTCGTTGTGTTAACTAACTGATAAACTACAAACAAATCAAGAATATTTTCATGATAACTCAGGCAACAGTTATTCGCTATGATTTTTCTTTCCGTCCAGCTTTAAAAGAAATTTTTGTATTACACACAAACGTACTTTTTTCTTCTCAACATATACCATATCCTCGTAAATATGTCGTATAAAAATGATCAAAAATAAAATAAACAAAAATCGTTTAACGTTGTATTTTATTCAATCGATCGAAATCTATTGCGAAAAATACCTTCGTCTATTTTTTTCTCTTCTTATTCCGAATCCAGGAGTTATACAAATTCAATCTAAGGATATAATTTTATGATCTAAAACTCTTCTTAGCTATAGATCGATAAATACGGTTTAAAACGCGATCAGAAATATTTACTCGTAAACTCGTCTTTGAGTTCATCCTCCTCCTCATCCTCTCACCTAAAGTCCTTAAATAGTTTTCATACAATTTCGTATTTATTAAGTATACTAATATCTAATTTTTCTACAAAAGAATTACTTTTTCATTTATTTATTTAATTCTTTCAAATTTTAATTAATTAATCATAAATATTTTATATATCGCTCAATATAAACATTTCTATGATACTAAGCATATCGATAAATTTGTTTCTCGTAACGTTTGCACTTTTTCGCAAGAAAATATTCACGTTTGATTTGTTGCATCGATTAGATTTAATCAATGTGCACAATCACGTGTATGTGTATACATACATCATCATCAAACTTTCATGTGTACTGATTTTTGTCTCTGAATATCTTTTGAACGCTTAATTTAACCCTTTCGCTACGGTGGGCCTCGCCGCGAAGTACCTCGTCTAGAACGGAGCGCCGTACCGAAAGTGGGAACATTAAGCGCGCGCAGTCTTTAGCATTCGGAGCCTATTGTCTCAAAAACGACTTTGTGACATTACTTTTAGAACCAAAATGATTTTTGTTCATAATTATGTGACTATAGTCTATGACTATAGTCACCCGTCGCGTATAGGTGGCATCGTGTGACGGGTGACTATAGTCACCCGTCGTGTGCGGGTGTCGTTTTGTGGCGGGTGACTATAGTCACCCGTAGTAGTGAAAGGGTTAATCGCCAAAACATAAGGCACCATTTTTATAGAGCAGTTAATTTCTTACAAAAATTTGTATTGCGCATTTTATAATAGTCATTTATTGTCGAGTTATGAAATTCATAAACAAAAATGAAATTTGTCTTAAAGTAATCAAACTTAAATCTTGAATATCATTCAAATGGTGAGGTTTACGGAAAATATATAAACTACCTTTTTTGTAGAGCATTAAATTTCCTACAAAATTCTTTCATAACATTTTTTTGTGCAATCAATTAATGATGAGGTATGAATTTTATTCTATTGGACTGAGAAAAAAATAAAAAACTGCGATGCGGAGGATCTTCCTATTAAAATTAAGAGCTCATATTTGGTGAAAATTCTTTTAGGGTGTCTAGCAACTCATTTTTTTGTGGCACTTGTAAAAAAAAAAATAATTGATTTTTTTGACCCACCCTAATAAACATAATAAAAAGGAAAAATATGATAGATAAGAGAAGAAGAATAAAAAATAGCATCATTACCCGTTTCGAAAGCTGGACCGATGTTGTTGCTGATTAAGCTGATGATGATGATAATGATGATGATGATGATGATGATGATGGTGATGATGATGATGATGATGATTATGTTTATGGTGTTGTTGTTGCTGTCGTTGTTTTTGTTGCTGTTGTTGCTGTTGCTGTAGTTGTTGAATACCACCTGAAGAATAATGAGCACCCGAAATTGATGATCTGCCCATCCTAATTGGAGTTTGAGTTAAAGGACTGGCTATACCTTCCAATCCTCTAGATAATTTTAACATTTCAGCACCGAAAGCGTGAAGTGCTGACATCGCCGATGGTGGCGGGTCGCTTTCAGGAAGCCATAATTCGTGAGTGTCGAGGGTTGTGAGTTCTGTGTCGGTAGATGTACCAGAAGTATGCTGAGGAGTACCACCACTTCCGGCTGAATTTTTATTCAGTAGAAATCTCTTCCACGTTCCACGCCTCTCCAGACCTGTGAACACAATTTTTGAATTCTTACACTTGTTATATTTACGTACAAATAATTATATTTTCCTTTTTTTATGTTTATCTTGGATACCGCAATTCGTCTTAGTAGGTCGGTTAATAAGTAGTGTGAAAATTTTGCTTAATAGTTAATATTTCAATGAATAATATCATTAATGTTGTTTACTTGATATTTAAATAACTAATGCACTAATATTTTTTTATATTAAATTCTAATATTATCAATATTTAAATTTCTAAATCATTTTTTAAAGAGGAGAAAATCATTTTTCATAAAGAAGAACATCTATGTTTATTTATGTAGAGATAGTCAAACATAATGTATATATTCCTACTCTTTCATTTCAATTGACTTTTACACAGTGCAATGAATACGAGTACATTTATATACAGGCATTGCAAAAATGTATCCCGAGCAACGCATATTCGATATTATCCTTGGACAAAGGAATCTCTCTCTCTTTCTCTCTCTTTCTCTTTCACTCCCTCAGGAGTTTCACAAGACTCTTCCAGTATGATGCAGAATTTCGTTGGTGTGCCAAAGTTCTACCTTTTCAAAACAAAATACGCTTTGCTTTCCAACAAAATATGCTTTAATGTTTCTAAACAGCCTAATTACGAATCTAATTCCTCTATCTATTAACTAACTTTGTCTACCATTAAATTAAATAACTATATTCGAAACATTTCGAAATTAGTACATGATAATTAATCGTTCAAGAAAATTCTGGCTCTCGTTTGAATAATATTATATTAAACTTGATCATTTTCAGAATGATTCTGGAGTATTCAAACCAGTCGTTTATTATCGTTGAATTTCGAACGGTCGATTAGTTTCCGATATGATTATCTATAATGTGTGAAGTATTTATCGTGTTCCTGGGGGAAGAGGGGGAGAATTTTCATTATACGAAAATAGCGCATTAACACAAACATTGTTAATGTGATATTATTAATATGTCTATATATGTACATGGAACAATTGGACGTCCAAGCGAGCATGTTTTATGTATAGTTGATGTATGATCGTAACTACAGATGAAAAGTTATTCATTTAACATTAGTATAATATATCTATAATTCCGATAATCGTATTCTCATATGCGTAATTTAAAAAAAAAAAGACGTAAAGGAAAGCAAAAAGAGAAGAAAAAGAGATCGAGAGAAGTTTATTTTATACTATAAAATAATCCGTGAAATATATTTAATTCAATAAGAATTTTCCAATCTTAATTTTTCTTATATTTCTTTCAATTGCGATATTTATTATCGTATCTAATATTGTTATATTATAATTATTATAATATATAATAGTATATGGGTGAATTGGTTGGAACTTTAAGTCCCATTCCCCCCCCCCCCAAAAAAAATATCTTTTATTATTTTGTAAAATAAAAGTTATTTTAATCAAAACAAAAAATTGTTTCTATGTTAGGCTCAAAACTTTTTAACTTATCCACGTTTATTATATAAAATATTATTATAATAAATCTTATAATATTTAAAATATCATATATAAATTAATTTAATCAATATGTTAATAAATAATATATTTATTATAATAGATATACTATAAACGTTTGATAAATTTCTGATGCAGGCCGATGGTATCGACAGTTCAGATTGCATTGATTAATTTCTTGGATCGTTCATTTTCTAAACCATCCCTATTTAGCATACCTCGACACGTTCAAAGCTAATACATAATGACCTCCCACCTATCTTCGTGTCCTGCTTCTGGCAGTGATTTTGTTCGCGTGGACACGACGGACAGAGGCTCTCTAGTGTGTACTTTTATAAAAATTCTTTCATCCTGCCAAATGGGCGTTTCGAGGATCGTCTAATCGAGAAATGGGAAATATAATCAGAAAATCTAATAAATAGGTCACCGTACGATTAATCATTATTTTCGCATTTCTCGATAAAATTGATTTTTCATTGACTTTTTTATTTATTTCATTTCTATCGAAAATATATATTCAATTTCATTTCTATCTTGAATTCTCCTATCTACAAATGTTCGTATTTTTTCAAACATTTGTAGTTAGTATTTTATCAAATAAATGGTCACGCTCTATATCAATATAGTTTATTCATATTTTTAATAAAAGCAAATTATTAGTTTCAAAATATTGATCCAATATAAATAATTGTTTGTTCATGTTTCTATATCTGATGTTCGATGTTTTAAATTTTTTACTTTAGTCCTTATTTTATTATTTTCTCCTTTTCCTTTTTTATATAAATTATACAAAAGAGGATTATTATCCCGAAAAATAGTAGTATTAGTAAGTACGCCATCATAACATCGATCTTTATAAATTTCTGATCTTAGAAAACAGCATTCCTAGGTTCTCACTAACCGCTAACTAATCTGACCGACTTTTCGTATAGTATGCCATAGATTGTCATGTCAGCGGCTCGATTTATTTGCAAGTTAAATCGACCGATGCAAATCTCCGTTGCAGCCCGAATAGGACTTGGTCGTACGGTGGTGCGGTCCCGCGCGTTCCAATTTTTCGGCCGCATCACGAAACTCGCACGAACCTCTCGAAAAAAGAGAGCACTACTCACCCTAAAGCACACGAACAGAAAAAAAAGAAAGAAAAAACTAATCGGAAAGAAAGTGAGAAATAAATAGAGTTTATGTAAGCGGGAATGAAAGAGAAAGATACGTCCTATTCTGTTTTTCATTCGTAATAAAACGAGTGAGAATGAGAATACTAAAATTCGATCGATCATAGTCGAACATGTATTTTTATTTCGTTTTGTCCATGCCAAGACGTATTGCCCTCGCATGAATCATTCGATTCGACTTGTAATTTCTTTAGATAAGGAAGAAAAAGAAAAAAGAGAGAGAGAAGTAGTGAGGAATGATATTAGAACATGAGTAGGAGTATTAGGCAACCAACAAAAAAAAACAAAAAAAAGGAATACTAAAAGTGCAAATTAGAATTAAATGATACAAAGGGAAATTTTTGTAAATCCTATGTAATCTTTGAAGCAGCTCATATTTTTCATTCAAGACAATGAGGGTAATCGATCGGTTCATTTATGTTCGCTCTTATTCTTTTTCTGTTTTTTTTTTTCAAGCGTAACGAAGTAATCTCCGCTTGAATAAAAAAGGTTTTCTTTCCTTCTTTTATTTTTTTTTATTTTGTTTGTTTTATTTCTTCCGATCTAAAAATGACAGAGCACGGTTTGTACGGTCTCGTTGTAACGTAAAACGTAAATTTCATAATCTCTAACGTCCTTTGAAATACACTTGTAATTTTCTCTACTCCCTTACCTGAGAAAACGGAAGAAAATAGAATAAAATTGCAAACGTGAAAAAAAAGCAAGAAGTCGAATTGGAAACAAATAAAAAAATAAAATTATCAAACGTATTCTATTTCTCTCGTCTATGTAATGATGATTACTTGGTACTTCAATCAAAAGTTTACAGATCGTTCATTCTTTCTTATTCCTTTTTTCTTCCTTCTCTTGTATTTTATTTTTTTTTTATTTCATAGCATAGAAAAAAAATGAAAGAGAAAGATGGCCTAGTTTAACGTTTTAAGATCCAAAGGTACCTCGGTATCTCTATTCCTTTTTCATCGAGAATCCTTCTTCTTCTTCTTCTTCTTCTTCCATGAAACGTTGGACAAAGAAAACCAAGCGGCAGAACTAATCGCAATCTTGCACGATACGAGACACGAAGAAAAAACGTGGAAATCGATGTCGTATTACATCGAACAATACTGTAATAGGTCTTTATATTAGCTTCTTTAAGAAAAGAAAGTAAAGAAAATAAAAATGTATATATAGATAGTTTTCGTTGAATCAAGATCGTTCCCCTTTGACAACTATTTTCTCTCAAGTTTGGATTAAACAACTTATTGGTTCCTATTAGTTTCGTATTGTTGATATCATTTTACTAATTGTCTGGCTATTTCTTATTTCCCAAATCTTTTCAAAAATGAATTTTTTTTTTTTTAATAATAACCAATGATATTTTTTGTTAATTTTATTTAAGGTAATTTAAAAAGAAAGAAAATATGTGAAAATGTTATAGTAAATAAATTAAATATAATTGTCCACATTTGTTTTCAAAGGCCCTTAACAAATTATTTTAACTAATAACTAATATTTAACAGCTTTTTTATATCTAATGCTCGTTAAATTTAAATCGCATCCCTTGGAAAACTATTAGGTTGTTTTGAAAGTAATTTCTTTTTTTGTGTCATACAGAGATTTTATTACCTAAACCTCACTTTTACTCCTAATTTAAACCTTAAATTCGCTTTACATTTTAGCAATAGATACTTCAGACGTGATCTATAAATTGTTTGTGTTTCTATCTACTAAGTAGTATTTTCTTTAGTATTACACCAGAAATAGAAAGTTAAATGGAACATTTTTATTATATTTTGCTTGTTTTATTATTACGTTTTATTTACGTTTTATTTATCCTGTATTATAAGGATAATAATGAGATACAAGAAAATTATGTACCGTCTAGGAAAACCTAAATTTCATTCTAAATAAATTATATTATATTTCGAAAGATCCAATAGTATGAATTTTTAGTATAAAAGTTTCATTTTGTCTTCCAATGATCGTCTTATTTTATTCGAAAGATGTCTTCCAACATTTTACCTAACAATAAACATTTATGTTTTTCCAACGGATGGAACATCGTCGATTCCTTACGTAACAAATACAAAAGTACTTTTCGTCGCTTCGATGACTTGGAAAATTGAGAATGGAAATAATGACTTTCGAAGCAAGAAATAGTGAGAGAATACGATCTGTTCAATAATGTTAAAAGAACAAATAAAAGAATAAAAAGAAATGAGGAAGACAACGACGACCAATGACTATGGTCTACTTTAAGTTCGTTCAGAATCATCTATTTGAAATCGGTATGCAGGAAACAGCTGCAACTCGTAAACGTAAATTTTATCCCACCAACATAGAGAGAAGTTTCCAAGTATTGGGGGAAACTATTTCTATACCAAATTACGTTTAACTCTTGTCGCGAAATTTAAATATTTCCATTTAATTGATCAAAATAAATGGTCACTATATTTACATGAATACATTCAGTTTAAATAAATGTAATAATAAATAGTCACTATATTCATAATACGAAAAGATCAAATCAATCAAAAATTGTTTTCAAATACTGACCCAATAAATATTCACCCAATCAAATCTATATGAAATCGTCACGTGTATACGTTGTTTTGTATCCAAAAAATAAAAAAATTTATTTTATTAACATACAAAATTATATAAATAATATACAAAAAATAACTAAAACAGACAATATTATTTCGTAAAATGTATCTCTCGAGTCGAAAGTTAAAATAATTTTTTAATCCATAAAAATTAAATTGGTGCACGATAAAAAATAATAATAATAATAATAAAAGTAAATAATAATGTATATGAAGTTACATTTGTATCTAAAAATAATTTTCTTTTATTATACATTTTATTTAATCTCCATAGCTAACGCACTCGAATTTCTGACTCGTGAGATATATTTTGCAAACGGAACCAAAAAAGTGATAGAAATACTTTGTAGAGATTTACAAAGGATGTTATAGGAAAGTTTAATCTCCGCCAATACTTTGGTTCATACGTTATATATAAAAGAAACATCAAGGGATTCGTTTCCAATTGAACGACGCTACATGAACTTTATATTCGATATAATTCGACTACATAGATCTAACATACTATTCTCCTATTGGTGAAAACGTCGGAATCAGTTTATCGTTTTCTACAGTTTCTCTCTCAATTTCTTCTCACACTCGATGATCGTGAACTCGAACTATTTTTTTTCTAACGCGTATAAGGATATTTGTTTTTTTCATTTCGAGAGGATAGATTAGTTGTAGATAAAAGAAATAATGATTACACGGTATTAACGTACGTGCATCGAGGGAGAAGACACTTTAGATGATGGATGAGAACAACTCCTTCTATGTTTCTTATTTATGTCAAAAGAGAAAAAGAAAACGAAGTTCAATAAATTATCGATCTCTTCCGAGAAAGAGAAAAATAACGATCTTTCTAGAAAAAAGTGAATCAAAAAATATTAAAAACAAATTCACTTTAGATCAATCACGAAAAATATTCCATTACTTTCAAATTTATTTAATAATTATTTTTAAGTAATATGTATATATTCCTCTATTTAAAAAAAAAAAAGGAAAATGAAAAGGTTTTTTTTATATTATTTCTATAGAATTTTGGATCTTTGGACTTTTGGAGAATAATTTTATTCAAACAAGAATTATCTGATTAAAATGGATAAAATATTATGACGTTTATTATTTTTTATTTGGTGGTAAATTTTAAAGGTCGACTATGTTAATTTTTTTTTTTTTTTTAAACGTCCAATTGTATATAATACCAACATATCCTACAAAAACAAATCAACTCATATAAAACATTTTTTCCAACTCGAATCCGAAAAATACGAAATGTGGTTACAGAGGGTTAAAAAAAGAAATAAAAGAAGGAGAAGGAAAGTGTATATGTGATATTTCAACTACGATTTAATTCTTACTTTTATTCCGGTTCGCTTTTAACGTAAGCAAGAGCGTATGTGTGTATGTGTTATGTGTGTATATTATACTTGGGTGAATATTTGCTTTTCACCGTGGGTTTAGTTCCATCAGTGAAACTGGCAAAGGCGATTGAATTTCACAAAGAGATAGGTGTATCAGGTGATAACGCCTTTTCGAAGAAAGAACTCGTCTTTTACATCCTTCGACATTCCTACGCATTCTCGCCTACATACCAAGTTGAACATAACAAAAAAACATCTCTCTCTCTCTCTCTCTCTCTCTCTCTCTTTAACCTTTTTCAATATATTTAAATCTTATGGTATCGTTCGATTCACATCGTCTCGAACGAGTTGGTAAACTATTAAACAGTTTTTATGATTTTATCTTTTATATATGTCCTATTCGAATATCGAAGTTCAACTCTTCGAAACATTTCTTTCTACTTCACGAGAAATACAAATTAAATTTATTGTTAGAAAATCATTTAAAACGAATCATAACGAGTGATTGTAAAGATTTCATTTCAATATTACTTCCGATGTTATTGGTTTTTTGCCTTTCACTTTACGACGATTGTAATTTGAAATACTTTTTTATTATTTCAATCAATATCAAATTTATTATTATCGTAAATTCGGTGTTTAAAAAACGTGTTTTTTTTTTTTTTCATTACAGTCTTAATTTGTTGTCTGCGATAAATTCAAAAAACAAAAATAAAACAAAAAGTATGTTTATTTCATAATTATTAACAGAATCACTCGATAGAAGTAACAAAGTTATTATCCGTCTGTTGGTTGAAAAAACACGTTAATTAAGTTGCTGATGAAAGTTACTTATATTAGTTATCAACGAGATGACCTATTATGTTCCTCCGTTAGAGAAAATATAATTGGACGAGATGATTTATTGTAATGGATGCTCGCGAGATAGAAATAATAAGACACAGGTCAGTGTACCTGATATTACACTAACCTCCCGTGGATGCACCTTGTGGACCACCCAACCATCCTGATGACCAACCTGTACCTCCACCAATATTCTGTCTCTGTTTAGCCAATAGTCTCACCGTCAATGCATATGTGAGTAGCATTACACCCAGTGGTATGTAGAAGCAGATTATGCTACCAATCAGCTTATACAAAGGATCTGGGATTTGACAGGCACCGTCGACCAATACGGAATTGTGATCCTAAAACAATTCAAAAGTAATTCAAACGATTAACATTCAACAGTTAACATCTAAATATGTATCATTCGAATTGTTTTTAATAAAAGATAAAATGTATGAGATGGTAGGGTTAAAATTATGGGTGGGAATGAATATATTATATAACATGCTTAAAAGCTATCCGGATGTGCCTTTGATTGACTATGCATATGTGTGATTCAAAAGATTTATAAACTAAAATGTGCATAATAAATTAACTTAGATATTAGGAAAATATCTTATTTAATATTTTGCATAAAATCCAAACAGTGTCTATGTGAAATGTCTTATTAATCGAAAATTATATAATATTTATTAGTTATTTAATTACTACATAATTAACCCAAATGCTATACATAAGTATATCCTTGCTGCATTATAAATATCAGTGATTTAAAAAAATATCTATAGAAAACTATTTGCTCTATCCTCGATTTTAATTGAATTTCTATACAAATATTACCCAAATACTAAAGAAGAATTTGATTTGATTTTTTGTAGAACACCAGAGCAATGTCCAAGCGTAGTATCTCTCTTGGCTGAAAGTTATAATCCTCATGTCCGATATGGCGCCGCAATGGCTCTGGGAATTGCCTGTGCTGGTACCGGCTTGAAAGAGGCAATAGCACTATTAGATCCAATGACGAACGACCCTGTGAACTTCGTCAGACAGGGAGCGTTGATAGCCTCGGCAATGATCCTCATTCAACAAACCGAAGCAACCTGTTCTCGCGTCAAGGATTTCCGTGCCCTTTACGCGAAGGTAGTTGTCGACAAACACGAGGACGTTATGGCCAAGTTCGGTGCTATTCTTGCCCAGGGTATCATCGATGCTGGTAAGATGATCGAAACTGTAATCTTCTCTTCGTTTTGGTAGAAGGAAGAGATGGAGAGAGAGGAAGATAATACGGACTCTTCCTCTTCAGTCTTGAGAAATTTCAAGGAGATTATAAAGTAGCCTCGAGCTAAAACTTTCAATCTCTCCTCTCTCACCCTTTTGACACTGTTTAAATATTTTCGATGAAACATTCTGATCGTGCTCAAAACATCTTCATCAATGTTAGTTTATTTTCTTCTAATCAAATAATAATTTCATTTTAATATTTTTCTAGGTGGTCGTAACGTGACAGTTTCACTTCAGTCTAGAACAGGTCACACGAATATGTTAGCAGTTGTTGGTGCACTTGTGTTCACTCAGTATTGGTACTGGTTTCCCTTAGCTCATTGTCTTGCTCTAGCATTTACACCTACTTGCTTAATAGCTTTGAATGCTCAATTAAAAATGCCAAAATTAGAGATTCGTTCGAATGCACGTCCAAGTATCTACGCATATCCTGCACCACTCGAAGAGAAAAAACGTGAAGAAAGGGAAAAGGTCACTACTGCTGTTCTGAGTATTGCTGCACGGGCACGTAGAAAGGAATCTGAGAGAAGAGCACGTGACTCTCATGAAAAAATGGATGTGGTAATGAACAATTTTTATTATTATTATTATAATATAATATAATATAATACGTTAACCGCATATTGTCTAAAATCAAGCTCGACAATCTGACATTTATAATTGAGCCGTTCAGAGGTCAAAACAAATTCCAGTATTTAAAGTTTTCAAAATTTTATTATGAAAGTTTCAATATACTAAATCAATATTTAACTTTTTACATTTAAAATAAATTTTCTCAATAATTAAGCTTAACATCATCAAATAAAAACAATTTGTATGATCACTCGATTATGGAGGGTAGAGGTAAGGAGTAAAATCTCTTATGGAAGAAAATGTGAAAAAGTGTCCAGCGTTTTCTGTCAATAACAATTCAAAAACCTTCCAGAATGGCGCTGGTGTAGACACTTGGTATGGCATGAATGTAGCAATTGTAAATGTATTGCAATTGTTTATTTCTCAATCCTACTCTAATAATATTTGGCGCTTCCTTTAAAATTTACCATGATGCTAATGTGGCGCCACCTCAATTGGTTCGATTTCGACGGACACTTTTTATGTACAGAGATGTTACTCCTTACCTCTACCCTCCATACACTCCATAGTGAATCATACGACAATCGATGTTCTCTACTTTTGTTTTGTGAAATTAATCGATTTGACATACAAGTGGCTCAATTATTAAACAAACTCTTTATTTCCTTTTATTTACTCTTTTACTCTTAAAAAACTATTGTCTCTTACATGCAAGTGGTATATAAATTCGCAAATTTTGTCGACAGATCGTGTTACTTTTTTTCTCGGTTTTAAAACTTACCAACCAGTCAACGTTGCCTTCTCTTTTTGTAGCTTTGAAAGTCAAAGGTCACTTCGTTCGTTCGTTCGTTCGTTCGTTCGGTTCGTTCGTTCATTCGTTTGTTCATTTCTTTTTTTTTTTTTTTTATTTAAATTATTTTCTTTGTCCGTAAATTAATCCGAGGGAAACAAAAAAAAAAGAGATGACGACGAGACCAACAATTTTCTGGTTTAATATCTTTTAAAGGATCCACCTATAGTAGTAGAGACGAAGGAAAGCGTTGAAGTCAAAGAAATATCGTCAACATCATCGTCGTTGTCTCTGCCATCGTCGTCATCAACAACAACAACGTCAGCGTCATCGTCGGCAATAGCAACGACAACGGCTTCGAAAGATAAAGAAGAGAAAAAAAAAGAAAAAGAAGAGAAAAAGAAAGAAAAGGAAGAGAAAAAGAAAGAAAAGGAAGAGAAAAAGAAAGAGAAAGAAGAGAAGGAGGTTAAGGATACGAAAGAGAGAATCGATAAGAAGAGCAAAGATGACACGGAAAAGAATGAAAAAGAAAAGAAGGAACCGGAGCCTAACTTTGAAATTCTTCAAAATCCTGCCAGAGTATTACGGCAACAACTCAAGGTCATTCAATTAGTCGAAGGTAGTCCTTACGTCCCGGTCAAGGATCTTCAAATTGGTGGAATCGTTATGGTTAAACATATTCAAGCAGATTCGGAAGAGGAATTGGTTGAACCAGTCGCTGGTGAGTTTTAATTATTATTATTTTATTTTTATTATTATTATTTTTTTATATGATTGCATGAATTTTTTTCTTCTTAAGAGAAACATTTCGGAAATTATTAAGTGTAGAAATGAATTCGGTACCATAAATAAATACTAAATATGTTTTTAAAAGACATCGAATTAATTCCTACACATTGAGTTGATCAATAATGTTGAAATTTTTTTTACGCAAAATATTAATGAGTTGTTTATTCATTGAAATATAAATTATTAAAAATTTCAACATTATCTATCGTATATTCCAATTTTGCATCAACAGATATGTGCAAGAAACTATTATGTGACATTTTATTTAAATAATTAACTATTTTATTTTATTAGACTACAATTTTTTTCTATTTTTATTTTTTTATGATTTCAGAATCTTCAAAAAGTTTCCCTATAAGGTTTAGGAAACCCCTTTATATAGTTATTTCAAAAAAAAAACAAAAATGCAATTTAAGTTAGAAAGTCAATATCTCAGAAAGTTACTTTTGTCACGTACACAGGTTCTTGCATACTCCTGAATAAATTTACTTCAATATCTTCTTTGGGTTTGAAAAAGAAAATCAAAACAAAAATAAAATAAAATAAGAAAAGAAATTCTATTTCATCTTAAACGAAAGGTTTCGTTTAAGCCAAAAAATGGTCATTTTAATTAAGACAGATTCGTGGCCATGATTAAAATCAATTACTTAACCGTAAAATCTCTCGTAATGTCGCAAATCTTCTTATGAATACGTATCGACCTTTGGCCTTTTAAAATGGTGTATGTTTTAGCATTCGGACCAAAGCCAGATGAAGAAAAAGAAGCTGATCCACCAGAACCTTTTGAATATTCCGAAGATTAAAAGGGGGAACAACCTGACCTAATTAATTATTCTCCCTTTTAGAAGTAATGATAAGTCATTTTGTCTCATATATAAGTACAGACATATATACAATACATATACTTACACATTATATACATATTTACGTGTCTCTTCTTCGTACGCGTAGGCGCGTATTAAAAACGCGAAACCTACAATCGATATTCTTCTTTAGCAAGATGCATTTCTATTCTTGATTGTTAATATTAATATTACTATTATTATTATTGTTTCGTTTCTTCTTTTTATCTTTAGTACACCGTTTTAGAGTGATACTTTTAGTTCGAATAAAACGGAACTTTGTCAAAAGAAAACATTATAGTTTATTTATCCTTCTTTTTGATATAATTGATTAATATTTGGGATTTTTAACGTAATAAAAACAATCATGTATATAATCAATGTGTAAGAGACGTTCTTTGTTGTTTTTTCTAATATCATTGTTTCGAATAATATGAATTTATTTCAACATGATATTATTAAAGTTTATCACCCATCCATCTCTCTCTCTCTCTCTCTCTCTCTCTCTCTCTCTCTCTCTGTCATTTATCCCTATAATCGTGCATAATCGATAATAAAATATTTAATAATTAACAAATTGTCATCCTGTGTTTATTATTTGGTCGACCAGAAAGTTAATACCAATTTATAAATATTTGTTAATAAACTATTTTTGTCTCTCTTATAACACATTGCGTACGGCACACTATTCGCGCAACATGCTTCCAGGGACCGCACATTTTTGGGTGTAGTTCTATGTCAAATAGCATTACTCAATTCAAGAATTTCCCTATTATCACTGAGTTCATTTTCGTCTGCAGTATTATTCGATTCGTCCGATAAATCATCAAACATCAATTACTGGTAACGTAACAAGAAAGTCTATCTTTAGTTCTTTAAATCGTCGATTGAGTTGAAGAAACCTTAAAACGATATATAATAGCCGAGATATCTCAGCTCCCGGCCACAACGTTTGGATTGCTAAAGACGAGATACCTCGTCTCCCGTATGCAATGTGATAAGATTAGGTTTCACGGTAAGTTTTTGTCAACTTCGAAAATTATATATTTTTTCAATATTGTTTCAAAAATAAATTTATATATTA